ACAAATCCTGGATTTATGGATGTTTTATAGAAACTTTCCTTCATTAATGTTCTCAAATAAATAACCATATTTCTAACTTATATATGTGATTTTTCATTAAGAATATTCATTTATACTCTACTTGGTATAGCAATATATAAAAATAAATAAGAGCACAACTCACCCTTTTATTACACTGTAACTACCACCTATTTCATTATAGGAATAAGCAGGAAATAATACTATTTTAATGCCACCAAAAATGTTATATGACTTAGTTTTCTATTTGAACATGGATTTTGAGATACCTAATCAACTAGTTGTTGCCACCATCATTACACTCCTTTTAGCTTTAAAGTTTTTAAATGTATACCCTTTGATGAATTATACAAAAGATCTATCGATAAATCTTTGGTCAATGGGTTTGTAATATTTTACTTTGGATTTTCATAGTTAATGAAAATAATTTCATTTGATAACAAGTATTTAATTAATGATATTATGTCAATAATATATATTTCTAGATTGAGCATTATATATTGCTTCCAACTCAAGACTAGTTGTTGCAATGGACATAAATTACTAGCACTGATTTTGGCTAGCATAGAATATCCTCTAAGCAATTTCAAAGGCTCTCGATTACCTCTTCACTTTTATCAAGAACAATATACTTTGATTGCATCATGTATCTTATGATACAATTTTTTTCTAAGAAGAGTTTTAGGACATAATTACTCCACCAACTGTGATATCTGTTAGTGGATTTTGAATTCTTAGTATTAGATATCTAATGTAAGATCTCACATTGGCGGGTGAGGAGTTGTTGTTGGCTTTATAGTAGTGCTGGTTCCTAACCTGTTGTACACGTTTTGGGGTGTTGGGCTCAGCGATGGGCTTGCATCACCAGAAATAAAACCGTGAAGGTGGAAGACCTAAAATAGATAATATACAGCATGTTGTGCCAGACTGTTACATTTGGTATAAAAGTCGACATTACTACTTGTCCGATGGTATCGACGGGGTTGTCGGGCTCCTTAAAGGGGTGGATTTTAAGATCTCACATCAGCGGGCGAGGAGTTAGTTGCTGGTCTTATTAGTAGTACTGGTCGCTAACCTATTGTACGCTTTTGAGGGTGTCAGGCTCAGTAATGGGCTCGCATCACCAAGAACAAAACTATAAGGATGGAAGACTTAAATCAGACAATATATAACAGGTTGGGTCGGGCTATTACTTCTAATATGCATTATTATACCCTTCTAATACTCTAGGTAACTAGCATAATATTGTCCATAGTTCAATGTGTACTCTAAATATTTGAGTATTAGAGTACCTTTTGTATTGCTTTCAAATGATTCATAATTAGATTATTGGTAAAAAATTTAAAAAAGCAGAGTCATCAGTTGGTTGTTAGTTGTGTTATATGTATATGCTATTGGTAAAAATATTGATATTAAAAATAAAAAATAACTATTAGCTAGAAAAGGGATGTTAAGACTAGGGAGAGAAAGCACTTCGTGCATGGAACATATTGTGCACTCGTGGAAAGTTTGTGTGGACAACCTGGGAACTTCAAAATACATAAAGGTGTGTGTTGGTATAAGATTAAGTGCTACACACAGTGAAAGTACTAGATAGTATGAGTGATTTATTCTAGGAAGATTACACTTTGCAGTTTGTTTACAATCTTCAGCTTCATTCACGATCCAATCTTTCACCTCTCTTTCCTCCCTTTCCCCTAGATCCATTGCATTTTGCCTGCAGAAAAAGGATCAGAAATGTTTGTCCACATATGCAAGATCACCACAGGATGGTTGTTTTCTCTTGAACAACAGATACATTATACCTGATCATGGGATTAAAACCACATGCTGACAGCCATATAAGTCTGCATGTATGATCAGTTTATATAACCCACAAGAAACAAATGCCAGTGATTGGTGGCTTGTTCCAGACTTCGACAAGACTACTAATACCTTGTATGAAGCTATTACTTCACCTTTTCCCCTTGATGAACTTCACAAAAGCCATCACGCGTTGAGTAAGTCATCAAATCTGCAGGGGATGCCCTTAGCAATCATATCCTTTCGACCCCTTCTTGGTAGTGTTTGAAAGTGGAGTTATGTTTGAAGTGGAGTTATGATTATTTTTTAAAATATTTTAAACTTGAAAATACATTAAAATATAAAAAAAAATATTTAAATTTTTCCTAAACCCTATTTAAAATACAATATCAAACGAGGGACTAATCAAGCCTCTTAGAAGAGTGGTGTAACTAAAGGTCTCTAGAATTAAGTTTTTTAAATTATTTCACTAAAAACTTGTATCCTATTCATTGATTAGAATATTATTTTTATTTCAATCATGTAAAATAAAATATTAATTTACATAAGAAAATGAAAATATTAATTAAGAAACATGATCAATTTTGAACCAACACATAATTTGCCAAAAATGATAAATTATCAACAAATAAATCCTTATTATTCTGAATTTAATCTAAAGTCAATGTTGAATTTATTACGAGAAAAAAAATAGTTGTTACATTAACTCTATTTTAGTATTATATATTATCTATCCTCAAGCCTCAATTATTATAAAAGAAGCTTAAAACACCCCCATAACATGAATTTTTCTCTTAAAAAAAATTAAGATCTAAAATAAAATAAAAAAGAAATGAACAATATGTGAATAATAAAACAGTGGTGAAATCTCTTAATGCACAACAAATAAACATGAATTTCCCTTTTTTTTGGGCTTTTTAAGATTAAATTTAGATAATCCAAAATTCTTATACTTTATATAAATATTAATTAGCTTATAATTATTAATTTTTTATTTGAATATGATCAAGCACATCTTATAAGATTTCGTTCTTCAAACTTTCTACCTCCAAAATATAAAAAACACACGCGCTGTATCTCAATAAGATAAAATAAATAAATAAAACAATTGAAATAAGATCAAATTTCCCCGCCAAAATGAAAAATCAAAACCTCTTCCTCTCTCGAATCTCGATGGAGAAAGGTTTCATATCAGGGGACCGATTCACCGAGTCAAGCCAGGCATACTTCTTGACTCACTTACACACGGACCATACTCAAGGCTTGACCTCAACATGGGGAAAAGGTCCTCTCTTTTTCTCTAAACTAACCGCTAAGCTCCTACCTCTCAAGTTCCCTGATTTCAACCTCTCTCTACTTCGCGTCGTCGATCTTCACATCTGGCATTCTTTTTCTCTCATTTCTCCGACCACCGGATCTCAAATCACCACTCATGTCATGGCTCTCGATGCCCACCATTGCCCTGGTAAGCCAATTTTTTTTTATGTTTTCGTTTTTATGCCGGAGCCCACCGGCCGAGTTGGCTTGCTTATTCAATCGCAATGCATGAGATATTTTGGGAATCGATTTCGGAAAAAAGAAATCATTACCTTCTGGAAATCACTTTTTGGATGGTTGGCTATGGAGATTTGATGGGATTGAACTGTAACAGGAGGGGTCATGTTTTTGTTTCGCGGGGAGTTTGGATGCTTGATGTATAAGGGGGATTTTCGATGGAAAGTTGATAGCGAGAGGGCAAAGGATGCGAGGAGTAGGCTACTTAATGTTCTCAAGAATGAGATGGTTGATGTTCTTTACTTGGATAATACTTATTGTAATCCGTCTTATGATTTTCCCACTCGTGAAGTTGCTACTCAGCAGGTAGGATTTACATATTTCTTTTTCACATAGCAATTCTTTCTTTGAGTGTTTTTTGGTAGGTGCTGACGATTAATGTGCATTGCGGAGAATGGATACCGGTTAATAGGGATGAAGCATGGATAAAGAGCTAAATATTGTTGGTGCTGAAAATGAGAAAATATGGTGAGCAATTGATTAGTATTCGTGTCTTAGGAATGGTCATGAAAGTAAGTAGATTTATTTTGAGTTTATGGGCTTGGTGGAGATTACACTGCTTCAAAATAGGAAACAGATCAGTTATACAACTTTTCTTACTGGTTTAATTACTTGGTAATGACAGGTTGTTGATATCATTGCTTCTCATCCGGAGCATGACATCGTTATTGGGATTGATACTTAAGGGAAAGAAGAGCTTCTAATTCACATTTCACGTGTGCTTAACATAAAGGTACGATCATCGTTGATGTTGATGGAAGATTCTAATCTTCTATTTGCATGGATTATGAAGGATGTGTTTCTATAAAGCACAAAACCAAGTTCTTAGCTCAGTTACCATGCCTGTTTATTGTTTTTATTATGATTCTAGGGCACCCACATTTTCTCATCGTTTTACAAGAAAGTAGTTGTTGAATGAAATTTAGTGAGCTACTTGCAAATTACATTTGCGAACTATTTCTGGTTCAGGTTTGTTTTAGCTTTAATTTCCTTTCCTTCTTTGAAGATTTGGGTGTGGCCAGAGTGTTTAAAAACCATGCATCTTCTTGGATTCCATGACACATTCACAACTAAAACTTCTCTAACAAGAGTCAGAGCAGTTCCTCGTTACAGTTTCAACATTGAAACTTTAGAGGGATTAAACACAATGCGGCCAACAAGAGGAATCATGCCATCTGGGCTTCCATGGGTGCTGAAACCTGTTAAAGGAGATGGCAATCTTTTCGGTTCTCTCTTAACTTCTCGTTACAAAAAAAGACATCCATCTGATAAGCTAGACGGTAATTTAGGATATGCTGAAAGGTATCACCAGTAGATGTTTTCAGTTCCTTATTCTGATCACTTATGCTTTGCAGAGATACAAGAGTTTATTGAACTTGTCCAGCCAACTAACATGAAAGGTATTGTGCCTTCATCATCTTGTTACGTTGACCCACTATATTACTTCAGTCGCCTTTGTGGTGTAAACCAACCACCAAAGAGGTTTGTCTACAAGAATGAAAGGAAAAAGGGAGGCAAAAAGAACTTGTTGTATCTTATTTTGAAAGTGGTAATTCTCCCGAGGCAGGAAGGAAAAAAAGCAGGCCAGTAAGAGTGGATTATAAAAGAGTTAATGTAAGCAGAGCGAGCGAATGAAGAAGAGTGCGCCGTGGAGCCAAAATTATGGAAAGTGACTGGTCAGATTAAAAGTGTTAACTTTTGTAATTGGGTGAGCCAAAAAAATACTTGTAGAAATACTTGCAATCGGGCATATATCTGTAGAATTCTGGTATGGGTATCACGTGGTAACGAGAGTTGCTGGAAATGATAATTTGCCCTGTTTTCATTATCTCGAGCTTTACTGTGCAGTAGTTGATGAACTTCATCATGAATTATCAAATATGAGGAGTCCATATCTGAATCTTATTTAGAATGAAAATCACAATCTAGTTTTTCAAGCAGCACATACCACAGTATCTGTGTTCATTGCAATTCTTGTTTCTAATGGATTTTTCCAATTATCTTGATGGAACATGTGGTTGATGTACTTAAGAAACCGAACAAGTGGGATACATTGATCCAATTTCTTCAGGTATTTGGTTAATGCAAAACTTACGGGATTTTGTCTGCTTGTGCACCCCTTATAGATATTTAAACTCTCTCAATTAACATCATTAAGACACACTTAACTGTGAGACTTTCAGTGCAGGTATTCACCTAGCTTTATAAGTGCTTTGCCTCATCTCATTCTGCATGTCGAACTTTACATTATAAGCTGAAAATGTTCATTAGTAGTGTCATGTATTGAAGATCAAGAAATGGGTTGTAGCCCTATTGTTAAGGTGACTTTGGTTTGACGGCAAAGTCAGTACTTCTTATAGTCCACATGTTAGAGAATAATATAAATCATATCCTAGGACCTCATCTAAAAGCTTAAGCTTTTAGGTGAGATGGTTTTTTGACATGGTATCAGAGCCTTGATGACTAAACGGTCACGAGTTCGAATCTCACTATCTCTATTTATTTGATAAAAATTAAGCACAAGGTAATATGAACATGTGTAAGTTTCAAGCTCAAAGGGCTTTCACTTGAGGAGGTGTATTAGAGAATAATATAAATCATATCCTAGGGCCTCACCTAAAAGCTTAAGCTTTTAGGTGAGATGGTTCTTTGACACCACAGTGGGCCAGAACTCAACACACGGTCCACCCTTGAAATGATGCCAAGAAAAATGGCCTCTTAAGTTTGAATTGGTGGTGATTTTGTGTCATGCTGCAGAAACCTGTGAGAAATTCGTGGAATTCGTCCTAATTTTCTTAGGAAAACTCAAAACTTCTGCTACCGTTTTGGAATGCCTTTGCAAGAACCACCTTTTTGGTCATGTTGAGCTGATGGTATCTTAGTTACTTTCTGTCAATGCTGGCTCCAGATATTTGAATGTGGCTGCTGTGCATGCTAGTGCACTTACTCATGTGTGATCCTCTGTTGTTTGCACTTGTTCATGTTGCTGATTCCCTAGTTTCTTTGCTCAACTTTTGTCCTCTCAGTTGCTGTTTTGGCGCTAAAAAACCTTAGATGCTAAAGGATGCAAATGCAACCACATATCCAGGACCACCGTTTTTACTATTACATGTCCATGGTAATCCATGTAGCCATGATACTCTGCCATAAATGGTGTAACATAGTTGATCTTTACACCATGTAATGGTAAAAAATTCGAGAAAAATCGTAGATTAGGAAATATAATGCCAAAGAAAATAAGAGAACTGTACAACTAACCAGGACTTTACCTTTACAATGACCTAAATAAGGGTTTCCTGCAAAGCCTGCCATGCTAAAACATTGAAGTATACTCACGTGGAGTGTTCATTGAGCACTATTATATATTATTCATCAGAATGAAAGCGACTACCTTGTTTGAGACGCGCCGATTCTACTGACTAGCCTCAGTTTCTAGAATCAAGTCATCCTTTTCTTTCTTGTTTGTTGTATGTGACTGAGACATCAAGACTACAAACTGTGGTTAAACAGCTTGCATAATGTTCACGTGGATAAGCATTTCACACCCATTTTCTGCAAGAGAAATGCCATCAATGAAGCCGAGGAGTATGACCAAAAATTGTGTAACTAACAACGTTCAGAACAGACTAAGGGAGGAGGTGAGCATGTGCTGGTGCGTGCATACACTTTCCAAGCATGCATATAATAATAAGTGGAGTTAGGATATTCAGGTGTTGAATAATTTCTCGAATGAATTTAGAATCTTCTATTGTCTGTATTTTTTTCATGTCCTGTTCAAGCATCTTGTATCTGTTGTTCAAAAGAAAACAACCATCATGGATATCAGGTTTGGTGTTTCAGTATAATTTGAGTCTGTGGATAAACATTTCAGATCCGTTTTCTGCAAACATAATGCTATGCATCTAGAAGAAAGAAGAAAAAGAAGGCGAGATATCAGATCATAAGTGGCTTGTTTCACAATGTCAGTTATACCACTTTTATAAGTGGCTTGTTTCAGGCAGGGAGAGTTTTGGAAGCAAAAGAGCTTTTCAAGGATATACGTGCCCAAAGCCATTTCCCAGATTTAATGACCTACTCAACTTTGCTTGATGGCTTAAGAAAACAAGGGTATCTTGATCAAGCGTTGGGACTATTTCGTGACATGCAAAAAAGTTACTTGAAGCCTCATTGATTTGGTGATCTATGATATCACAATCACTGCCATCTGCAGATCTAGGAATCTTAAAGATGTATTGGAGTTGTTTTCGGAACTCAGTCAAATGGCTGCAGCCTGATGCTCGGGTTTGGACTTTAGTAATCAATGGAATTTGCAGAGAGGGATTGCTAGATGAAGCATACAAAGCTTTCAGACTAATGGAAGAGGATGGCCGCCCACAAGATAATTGTTCTTATAATGTTTTTATCTGAGGATTTCTCCAGCACAAAGATCCAAGGGCAGTGCAACTTATCAGTGAGATGAAAAGCCAAGGATTCTCGGCAGATGTGCAAACAACAAAGTTGGTGGTAGATAATTATTGAATCATTTCTTCATTCCACGGTTATCTGTCATGGTGCATTTCTGCATGGAACGCTACCCCTTCATCCTTTTTCTTCTTGGTTTTTGAATCTTTTGTTCTGATCATTTGGAAGTCAAGATGATGTAGTTGTTTGAAAGAAATGTGAATATAATTGGTTGTTATATATATTTACACTAAACTGAATTATATTATATGAGAATTTTATATAAAAAAATAATTTATGTTTATAGAAAGAATAACAAAATGGTTGTTTAAGGAATTCTTAAACTTGAGATCATTATATTATCCTATATAAAAATATTATGCTATGATCCTATTATATGTTATCTTAATCAAAATAATGAAAATAAAAACATAAAATATAATATGAACCATATAAAAGTATTTGAATGATTAAGAGAAGATTTATCATTCTAGATGAATTTGAAAAAAAATGTTTCATCTATTCTTAAGAAATTCTTGGTTAAGATGGAATGAGATTTGAAAAGAATCTCAAATTTTAATCAAACAATCAATGACTATTATATAAAAAATAAATATGGTTTAACATGACAGATATACTCCATGTTTTAATGTTAAATCAGAATATTATTGATAAAAAAATATTAATTGTACTAGAAAATTAATCACTGAAAGGTTAAGTTAAACCATTAATGATTTTTCTAATATTGAGGGGATCATGACATTTTACTAGATGATACACTGAATTTTCAAATATAAATTAATCAATTGTTAGATTGATAATAAATTAAATTGTTTGACTTATTTAATTCTATTTAATTATAATTATAATTTATATTTGGGTCAACATATTAACAACCTAATGAGTTATATATATTAAGAATTATTAATAAAAAATTAAACTGTGATGATTTAATTAAGTATGATTTGATTAAAATATATTTTAGAAATTAAAGACTAGAATATAATTAATATAGAGATTATATTTTTAGATTTAGAAAAAATCAAGTAAGGACTTGATTGATTAAATTTTTAAAATTATTCTTAAATGATATATGCATATTATTTAAGGAAAAAATAAAGATTTTATTATTTATAGAGTTTTTAAAATTCCCTGTAAATATAAAACTAAGCATATTATTTTGTAAGTGAAAAAGAGGAGAGGTTGTCTATTACATAAAAATACTTCTCTTGAAATTTATGAGATTTATCACGGGTGGTTCATATGAATTACTTTTGAAAACTAGATACTTAAACAACTTTTGATTTGCAACTATCTAATCTTTAAGAAATTATTCAAACCCAAAGAAAATCAAGGTAATAAATCTTTAAAAAACTTAAATCTTTCTAAAATAAATTTTAGAAACTCCTAAATAATTTTTTTTCATAGTTTTCGCTACTTATATAATAATATATAGGAAATCAATAGTTGTGTCAGAACCTTTATTAGATAATAAAAGTGATTGATTGTTGATTATAAGTTTTAATTGTTATTGGTGTTAATTTTAAATTAATTTTATATGAAAAAAATAATTTTTAAAAAAATAATTCTTCTCTTTTGATTTTGTTTTCAAAAATAATTTGATTATTGTTCCGGTAAATTTCTCCAAATCTTCTTCCTTGTCGACGAGGATAAGGTGAAAACGAAGTCAAGACTGATCCAATTTTCAACCTTCTAGAAAGGATTATTTTTAGTCTTCTTGATGTTCTCTCTTTTGGTTTACATGACCAAGTGCGGTCTTGCTTCTCGAGCCCTAATTAAAACAATTGGGTGACTCCTCTTATTTTGGGCATGACCTCGAACCTTCAAACTAAAGCAGAGAAGACCGGCTGTAATTTTCTTTTATATATATATATATCAAAATAATATTATTTTTAAAATATTAATAAAATTTTAATCGATTTTTAATCAAATCAAATTAGATTAATTTTTTTATTACTCAATTTAAATTAATTTAAACTCAAATCATTTAAACTCAAATCATCTGAGTTTCTCGATGTGTCTATCATGTAGGTGTGATAAGCAAAAAAATTAAAAAACTAATTAATTGATAAAATAAAAAATAAAATAATTAAAAAATTAAACCATGAAAAAACCAATTAAATCTTTTTGAATATTTAAAAAAATATTCAGTTTAATTTGGTTTTATAAGCTTCAAACTGAAAAACCAAACCAAATCGAAAAAATCAAATTAAATCCAAACCAAACCCATTAGAAAAATTAAAAAAAACCCAAATAACAATATAGTTTTTTATTTTTAATATAAAATAACCGAATCAAATCAAAGCCAAACTTAACCAAGCGAAACTGAAACCAAACTGAATAGAATCAAAATTGATCATTTAGATTTTTTTTAATATAAAATAACTAAACCGAATCGAAAGCAATTAGTTTGAATTAATTTTAATATTATTTTTATATTTTATAAAATTTTAATTTGATTGTTTTTTATAAATAAAAACTAAACTAAAATAAAAATAATTATTCTTACAACCATGCATCATGAAAGACTCGAGCAAAGGAAAAACATTTTTTCATTAAACATGCAATGAAGACAATTTTTTATCATAAAAAAATCACCCAAGGCAACAATATATTTTATTTATGTTAATGAAAGTGATTGGAGCGAGTTTTCCACATGGCAAATGAGATGTATTGTTTTACTAATCAACTAGTGTTATTTATCTAATACTTAATATCACACATTCATAATAAAATATTCTAATCAACAATTTGAACCATTATTATCTTTAAAATCCGTTTTACATGATTTTTGACTTCTGAAACCGTCGATTTTAACTCTGAATTACAATTTAATATTATCTTTTCATAAATAAATTATCAAAAAAATTTGAGTTAAATTGATTAAAAGTATGTTTGACAAAATAAAATAAATTATATTAACGTTTTTTTTGGTTTCTTTAAGAGAATTGATTAAAGTAAAATTTGATTTTGATTTTATATAATTTTTTTATTTAAATCAAATAATTATTTCTAATCAAATGTATTTATAAATCTTCAAGAGTTAAGAGTTAAGAAATGAAATTTAAATACCTTCAACAGAATAATGATGAAAACCAATTCACAAACAACAATATCAAGAAATTAATAGCCAATGGTAAATATTAATATGAAATAATATTTTACAAGAGTTCTTGACTATGTAACCTTTCTTCCATGTTGACCAACCTTGAGTCCCCAGTCCTCTCTCTGGTCATGACGAACCATTAATTGTCTTTCACATCATTCAATTTCGATCTCTTGAAGGTCGCAAGATGGGACTTTGAATTTTGAAATTAATAGCCAATGGTAAATATTAATTGACTTTTTTATCATAAAAAATCACGCGTCCTCTGCATCTCAAATGATAAAGGGTGTCTTGGGAGTTTAGGTGAGGTTTATATATATATATATTAAAATAATTTTTTTAATTTTAAAAAATTATTTTCGATATCAACTTATTTAAATGATTTAAAAATATAAAAAAATTTGCTAAAACTCTGTTTCAAAGGTGATCATTTTTTGTCTAGTTTTATTTTTATAAAAAGCTAGTCAAATCAAAATAAAAAATGAACTGAAACTAATTCAAACCGGTCAGTTTTGATTCAGTTTAATTTAATTTTTAGGAAAAAATCAATTTAAATTAGTTTGGTTTTTCAATTTGGTTCTGTTTTTTCTAATTTAACTCGATTTGGCTCGATTTTTTTCCTGTTTGACTCTATTTTTTATTTTTTTATTTAAATTTAATTTAATTTAATTCGGTTTAATTTTTTCAGTTCAAACTCATAAATCATAACCACTCAATTTGAAAACAGTCAATTTTTTCAAAGTTTTAATCAATTTTTTTGGCAGTTCAATTTTCTTGATTTAATCAATATTTTAGCTTTTTTCTCACTGCTGCAAATGCAGTCAAAAGGACACCACCGAATATTTATTAAAAGAAGAAATACGAGACACATATTTACCCATTAATTTGTCATTTTCGTTTCAATGAATGCATCAACCACCGCATGTAAATAATTATAAATGAAAAAATTTGATAGATATTGAAATATAGGTTTAACTTTAATTTTAATATATGTAAATAATTTGGATTTAAATGAAAATTGATTGAGAATATTATATGGTAATAAAACAAATAAATAAATGATGGGGAGATGGCATGAGGAAAATCACGCTGAATGTGTCCAAAAGAAAGCTCGGTTGACTTATGGTTCAAAACAACAGCCTTTGAAGTTTCTTTGGCAGATGCTTACGTAGCATATTGAAACCAAGTCTTGTTTTCTCTCTTCCAGACTCTATTAAACTAGCTGTAGTGTGCATTCTTGCACCTCCAGCATCTCAATCTTGCCTGCAAAATTCTGTGGCAGCAGCCATGGATGTCCTAAACAATCCATGGATCATGTTTTTTGTTATCTTTTTTTTTTATCCTCTCAACTCCCATGTCTCCCTTGGAGCTGATACAATCTCTGTAAACAGTTCTCTCTCTGGAGACCAAACTATTGTCTCAGCACGAAATGTCTTTGAACTTGGTTTCTTCCATCCAGGTAACTCTTCAAACTACTATATAGGCATGTGGTACTGTAGAGATAAAGTGTCTGAACAGACCATAGTTTGGGTAGCAAACAGAGACACACCTGTTTCTGATATATTGTCTTCAGAGTTAAGGATTTCTGGCGGTAATTTAGTTCTCTTTAATGAGTCCAAGATCCCAATTTGGTCCACAAATTTGAACTCTAGTAGGTCAAGTTCTGTGGAAGCAGTTCTTGGTGATGATGGAAATCTTGTTTTGAGAGATGGGTCTAATTCATCAGTGTCACCACTATGGCAGTCTTTTGATTTTCCAGCTGATACATGGCTACCTGGTGCCAAGGTTGGATTGAACAAAATCACCAAAAGGAACACGCTTCTCATTTCATGGAAAAGCAAAGATAATCCTTCACCGGGTCTTTTCTCTCTTGAGCTAGACCCAAATCGGAGTCGATATTTGATCTTTCGGAATAGGTCTAAACACTATTGGGATAGTGGAT